AATTATTTACGTTGTACTAAAAACTTGAAATTATCTTTTATTGTTCTTGGTACCTCTAATGATGTAACTAAGAAAAAATTTCAAATCTTTTCAATTTTTACAAATATAAAAGAGTATAAAAATTTATTTATAACTTATACCTTTTATTATGTTTTTATTAATTTAAATATTAATGTGTTTTATAGTTATGTTTTTTATTTGATATTAAAATATTTTTATATAATTTTATATATTTAATAATATTAAAAATCAATCAATCAAATTAAATCACATCAAATTAATTTAAATTAAATTAATTTAAAAATATTAAAATTTAAACTAAATCCCATCGCCAATAACCATCATCGTGACCCACGAGGAATCAAACTCCCGTTATGGTGAGAAGAGACCACACTACTTAAACCACAATTTAGGACAGCCTACAACTCTAAAATACCTAAAAGGTAGCGCGCAAAAGTGGCATTCTGATTTTGCAGAGCCTGACATTAGATCTAGAACCAACTAAATAAAAGGAAACATAACAATAAAAGAGAGAAACAAAAAAAGGGGAACAAAAATAGGATATAAACAATAGAATGGATAGGTGGCCAGCGGAAAGGGGGCAGGGGACGATTAGGTAGTCAAAAGAAAGCGTTGTTAAGGGTAGGGTGATAAATAAGTTGTGTTATAAGTTATTCTTAAATCAAACGCTTTACAAATAACTCATGAATTATGTAGTTCATTTATAACCTTAACAAATGTTTTTTTAAAAAAAAAACCTTAACAAAAGTTATCATTTATAATTATTAGGATATAAACCGATCACACAAATGACATTTTACTGTTTTGAATTGGAATTTAATCTCTTATAAAAAAATTATGCAATTTTATTTACTCAATCAATTTAAAGTGAAAAACTTACCGTAAAAAGAGTAGAATTCCCAGCTTCAAAATTGTAGATATTGGGAGTGTTCATATCTTATCCAATCTGATTGATCCGACTTAAACTGACCCAATTAAATCAAAAATCGATCCAAACCAATATAAAATTAGATTTGTTTAAATTATAAAATTTTAAAATCGATATAATTGATTTGGTTTGTAATTTTACTTTCAAACCATCCAAACTGTTCGATTACAACATAAAATTCGATTATAAGATAACTTAATTAAATAATATGATATATTTTTTTGTAGTATTTTAAATTTTTTTCTTATTTTACAAGATAATAACTCCATTAACTTAATTAAAAAATTAAAATAGAACATCTCTATATTCCCTAAATTATTTTTTCATTTTAATCATGCACTCTAAACTTAATTTTAAATTTCTAATTCACCTGCAACTCCATTCCTTTATAACTGGTTTACGCTTTTACTCTTAAAACCCTAAATTTCTAATTTATTTTTAAAATAATCTTATAATTCTCATAACTAAGTTTTAAATAAGTATCATTCTAAAAGTCTTAAAACTATATAATAAAATTAGTCTTGATATTCTACTATTATTGGATATTTAGTTTAAAATTTTTAAATTTTGATTATGAATTCTTCTAATTAATTTTAGTGATATTCATGTTAAATTTTATTCACTTTTAACAAGATTTAAAAGATGAGATTAAATTATTAATGCATTAAGAAAAAACTAATTTTAATTTTTAAGAACTATTTACGCTATGCTAGAAACTTGAAGTTATCTTTTATTGTTTTTGGTATCTTTAGTAATGTAATCAAGAAGAATTTTTAAATCTTTTTAATTTTTACAAATGTAAAAAATTATAAAAACTCATTTATAATTTGTACTTTTTATTATGTTAAAATATTTTTACATTATCTTATATATTTAATAATATTAAAAACCGATCAATCCAGCTGAATCACACTGATCCGATTTAAGTTAAATTAGTTTGGTTATCATATTATAAAGGATTGGATTGATTTAAAAATTTTATTAACCAATTAAATTGGATTGGTTTAAAAAATATTAAAATCTGAATCAAACTACACCGTGAACACCCCTAGTAGATACTTAACCTTTCAAATCTTTAATTAGTTAGTTAATTTGAAGTTTTATTTGCCAGCCTTAATTATTTGTTAAATTTATATTTATTTGATATTTGAAAGCGCAATATTGTAGGAACTAGCAACATTTTTTCTTTAAGTCATTGAGCGATATTATCTATTAAGTCTCGTATTAGAATAAAAAATTTAGAAGAAATTATTTTTTTATTAACATCTAAAAAATTCAAATTCATTAAGGAAAGGAGTAGACCTCCTCAGTCCTTACCAATTAGCTATCAAGTTCTTGGGTTTTACTTAAAAAAAATATATATATATATATATATTAATAACAGTTCTTGGGGGTATTGATGACATTTGATCAATGTTTAGTTGTTAACTAAAGAATGGAGGAGTTGAAGTGGAAGATTGCTTAATTTTGACACGTGATTGGCACAAATCAGGGCGAGAAATTTAACAAATAAAGACTCCAACTTTCATAAGTCTACTAATTAAGGATTCAAACTTTTTTGTTCATAATTTAGATTGCCAACTTCCAATTTTTTCCATTTAGAAACTTAAACTCACCAATTTTACTCTAAGAAAATGATTAAAAGACAACTTTTTATGTACAAATTTTTTATATAACTTACATATTATTTAATAATTAATACTTTTCACTTTATTAAAATTTATAAAATTATGTATTTTCATTTATATAATAACATATAAAAATTTTAAATAAAAGTTATACGAACCATACAAAACTGTATTGGATGGAATGGTGATATAGCTTACTTTAACTCCATTAACTAGTCCAAATTTAGTGCTGACGTGTTAGAAAAGATGCCACATTAGCAATGACATAGACAAGAAATGCATCAAATCGAAAAAAAAATGACAGTTTTTCTTTTCTTTTTTCTTGGTTTAGACATCAACGCACCTTCAAATCAATTTGTAGTCACGTTTAACATTAATTTCTCTTTAGTTTGGTCAATTTAAGTTTTATTTGAGAGTTTACTTTCTAGGGCACTTTTTTGCATAATATATTATTAGAATAATTTTATTATAATTAAATTAATTTTATATATTTTAAATGATTATATAAATGTATAGGAGTAATATATGCTTTTTCGAAAACACTAACATAGTTTTCTTTTGCAACATAGGCACAAAGAGCTTCATCCACAAAACTACAAACCAACTACCACACGCAGCCTCAATTCATTTCTACTTCTAGCTTTTGGATGAAACAATCCTTGCAAAACTGCATCATTATACATCTAAAAACCCAGAATTTTGTCAGCAATTAATCTACTGTAAACAACATACTAATCTTTGTCTTAATTCTTGGTCTGGTTTTTTAGTGTCACCAAGATCTCCACGTGGGTTCCACTTTGCTTGGAATTTTACTGTGTCAAAAGAATCCCACCTTTTAAACACACATTCAGAAGACATAAGAATCTCTGCATGTCTTGTAATAATTCCCATCTATGTTGTTATTCTGATTTTAGACAGATTCTGAGAATTCCCACTTAGTATTGTATGCTTTCTTACCTCTCCTTGCCTTACTTCTCCCTCTACATTGCGTTTTGTCTGCTCTAATCCCAATTTGATTTTGGTTTGTTCATGGTGGTGGTATAAAAGTTGAGTAACCTGTTCTTGTGTACTGTTTCTGCCATGACTTTTGTCTCCTCCTCCGTCCTCTTCCATCGTGTCTGGCGGAATTTTTACACGGTCCTCACATGCTGTGTCTCAGATTGTTACCACACTTTGTCTGTTCAATAAAAGCTCACTTCGTCCCAGCCATTTCATGGTACATAATTTCATCACATCATTCTCTTGTAGACCCTGTAGAGGATAAGACATGTTTGTTTTTCTTTTCACTGAATTTTCTTCTTTTTTTTTCTCTTTTTTGGATTTTTGGTCTTCTTTGTATTAGGACTGAGATTGATGTAACAGTTAAACAACTCAGCTACCTATCTGAATTTTGATCCTTTGGAGTGAAAGGAATTTCTTGGTTGTGTTTGGGAGAAAAGAAAATTAAAGAATGATGTGGTGGAAAGATCTCTTTACCAAGGCTCATTTTCCTGGACGCTTTCGTACTCTTCTTTTCAAACTCAAGTTGGTTTCATCACAACCACCTTGAGTTTGAGGGGATGTTAAGATGTAAACATAATTATATTTAGAATTATTGTAAATATTTTATACTTTAAAATATTCTCTTTGTATACTTTAGAATATTCTCTTTGTATACTTTATACCTTAAAATATTCTCTTTGTAAACACCTATATATAGGTCATTGTACATATAGTATAATTCAAGAAAGCAATAAACTTTTCTTAAGATATTTCTCCTTCTTTTCAGTTTCTAACAGGGAGAAAAGAAAATTAAAGAATGATGTGGTGGAGAGATCTTTGTGTGGTTATAGTATTGATGATGTGGGTTTTTGGAGGTGAACTGTACACCGTGGAGGGCAGGCCTCGCCGGATTCTTTTGGATGCGGATGTGGATACAGATGATTTCTTTGCTCTCTTGTACCTCTTGAAGCTTAACAGATCAGAGTTTGAATTGGAGGTGAACAGTTTATCTGCAATTCTGCATTAATTTTCCTATCTCATGCTTGAAGCTTTTGGTTAATGAATAATAGTATACAAAGTGTTTGTGAAAATGGTTGATGGAAAGAGGATAGTGATTTTGGTGTGATGCAGGCAGTCACCATAAGTGCTAATGCATGGACTAATGCTGGACATTCTGTGCATCAAATTTACGACATCCTATACATGATGGATCGTGATGACATCACTGTTGGAGTAGGAGGAGAAGGTGGAATTCTTGAAGATGGTACCATTTTACCAAATGTTGGTGGATACCTTCCTATAATTGATCAGGTAAACTCTCTTCGCCTTCATCCCCCCCTTCTCTTTGAAAATTCAGCTTATATTGTTCATATTGCAATGAAGGATTGCCTTTTGTATATGTGATGATTTTTCCTGTACTTGGATTGCAGATTTGCTATTTTCTGCTTATATATGTTCTTCATGCTGTAATCTTTAGTTTACTCATATCAGGGAGTGTCAACAGTTGGAGGTTGTAGATACAGGCAAGCAATTCCAATAGGCCGTAAAGGAAGACTAGACATAGATACTAACTTTGGGATTCAAAAAGGATTCCTTCCACGGGTATGAAATTGTCTTGTAATCTTGATTTGGTTATTGCAGATTGCAGCAACTTCTTTTATTGGATTTGTAGTTCATAGTCTGTTCTTTAAATCAGGGCAGCAGGAAATATTCTCCACTTCGACAGCCTACTGCTCAACAAGTGATGATTGACAAAATCTCCGCAGGTCCTATTACTGTATTTCTCATTGGAACTCATACAAACTTTGCCATTTTTCTCATGAATTCTCCACATCTAAAGAAAAATGTTGAACATATATACATCATGGGTGGGGGAGTGGGATCCAGAAACTGTAGTGGTTGCTGCCCAGTAAATGATAACAGAGCTTGCCAGGATGGTGAGTGTGGTGACACTGGTAATTTGTTCACTGACTACAACGGCAATCCTTATGCTGAGTTCAATATCTTTGGAGATCCTTTTGCCGCATATCAGGTGACTGAATTTTCATCTGCTAATTAACATGATCCTCATTGATTGATAGCATACCTTGTAACTATAAGAAATATGCTAATTTTGTAGGTTTTTCATTCTGGTATTCCAATCACGCTTGTTCCTCTTGATGCAACAAACACCATCCCTATAAATGATGAGTTCTTCAAGGCATTTGAGCAAAGGCAGGATACCTTTGAGGCACAGTATTGCTTCCAGTCCTTGAAAATGGCGCGTGATACTTGGTTTGATTCACATTTCCACTCAGTATGTTCTTTAAGAAAGAGGTTAATAGATACAAGTTATGTTTTGCTGAATGTAATCTGGATTTCTTTATTTTCACTACTTCAGCAGACCTACTTCATGTGGGATACATTTACAATTGGTGTAGCAGTCTCAATCATGCAGAATTCCAACAACAATGATGGAGAAAATGAATTTGCTGAAATGGAATACATGAACATAACAGTAGTCACTTCAAATGAACCATACGGCATATCTGATGGCTCAAATCCATTCTTTGATGGCCGTAAAGTTCCAAAGTTCAACTTAAAGAAAGGTGGAGTGCACAGTGGTCATGTCCAGACAGGACTCCAGGATCCATTTTGCTTTGTGAAGGATGGGAGAGGAAAATGCAAGGTAGGTGACCAGTTGCTTTCTTTTCACTATGTTAGTAACATGAATAACATTTTTAGTAGTTTCACCAAAGATTTCTAATATTTGAATCCAGTTCTCCCACCAAGAAATCTTCCCTCTATTACTCGTATTGATTTCATGCTAAGTAATACTTTTTCTGTACTTTATGTTAATGAATATCTGATTGTTTATGGACGCACTATTCACACACAATTGAGTAGGATGGTTACACGGCAAAGCTAACAGGTTTGGATACAGTTCGTGTTCTTGTTGCTACAAAGGCAAAACCCAGTCAGGAAAATGGCAGTGAACTTGACAAGGCATTCTACAAAAACTTCTTGAGTGTAATGTTCTGAGATTCCATTCTTCTACCATGATTCTTGTAGCAATTTTTCCAACATAGAAAGTGAGATCTTGTTATGAAGGATTGAACTCTAATATCCTTTCAATGATGATATGCAGGTAATAAATCTCCCCCAGCAAACCGGAAGATTTAATTTTACAACAGAATTTCCTTATTACAGGGAAGTCTTCTACAAACCAGATTTCAGAAACAAAGAGTTGGGAAAACCAGTTATCTTTGACATGGATATGAGTGCTGGAGATTTCCTTGCTCTATTTTATCTCCTTAAAGTGCCTGTGGAAGTGCTTGATCTCAAGGTAAGTTCTTCCGGCTTCACTTGCTTTTATGTTAATCAGTACCCCCATTAAAAGAATCCAAGCTGCAATATAATGTTCATCCCTCAAAGAACTTGCATGAACTGTCAAATTTCCTGGGCATAATTTCTTAGGGATTAAGTATTTTTGCAAGAAACTGCTCGGTGTAGATTTCTGTGATACAATAAAACAAATAAACATTACCCCCATGGATAAGACATTGCACAGAATAGGTATTCAGCATACCTTAAAGTGGGAACAACACAGTTTTTATATAAAAGAAAGCAGCAGTTTTCGATGTCCATTCTTCTTTTTCTCCTATCAATTCCAGGCAATAATAGTAAGTCCAACCGGCTGGGCAAATGCTGCAACAATAGATGTTGTTTTTGATTTACTGCATATGATGGGTCGTGATGACATTCCAGTTGCTCTAGGAGAAGTATTTGCAATGAACCAGGCTGATCCATATTCATCTGTTGTTGGAGACTGTAAGTATGCTAAAGCTATTCCACATGGGAGTGGGGGTTTCCTAGACTCAGATACTCTTTTTGGGCTTGCTCGGGACCTGCCTCGAAGTCCTAGAAGGTGTTATTTCCATTGCCCTAGCTTCTCTATCGCTCTATCCTGTGCTTTGTATGGTAGTTTAGGACTGAAATGTTAAAATGTTCACTACAGGTACACAGCTGAAAACTCTCTGGAGTTTGGTGCTCACAGAAATACTACTCAACCTGAACTGAGGCATCCTCTATCACTGGAATCTGTAATGAAAACCCTGGATCCAGGATTGAAGATTACCATATTGACCAATGGACCTTTGACTAATTTAGCAAAGATAATCTTATCAGAGACAAATACAATTTCACAGATTCAGGTAAGTTGATTTGTTTCTTGATTCTGTTCTGAGCCTTTTAATGTGTGAAAAACTTAGGATGCATACCATACTGAATTCTGACAGAGAATATCAGGGCTGGGATATGAGCCCGTGAAATTAATTCATTTTCCCATTATTTTTATCTCATTGCAGGAGGTGTTTATAGTTGGAGGACACACTGGGCACAGAAGTAACAAAGGGAATGTGTTTACTGTTCCTTCAAACAAATATGTAGAGTTCAACATGTTTCTTGACCCTTTGGCTGCAAAGACAGTCTTCAACTCAGGACTAAACATCACACTAATTCCACTCAGCACACAGCGCAAACTATGTTCATTTCCTGAGATCCTAGAGAGGCTGCAGCTGACTAGGGAGACTCCCGAAGCAAAATTTGCAGAGCGCCTATTGTCCAAGCTTTACTGTCTCCAACAGGCTAATCAGAGATATCAACATGTGGTAAAGTTCTCTTATTTATGCATAGATGAAGAGCATAGAAATCTTAGCAGATTGATTTTGGTGGGAAATACACATATGTTGATGTTATGATTGTCCTGCAATGAAAAACTTAGGCATTGTAGACTGTTTTCTTGCCCTTTTTTTTGCAGCTATATTCCTGAATCTCATTCCCTTTGCAGGACATATTCTTAGGTGAAATCCTCGGTGCAGTTCTATTGGGTAGCGATTATTCCTCTTTGAATCCTACCTTCCGAGAAAAGAACATCAGGGTCAATGCTGAAGGTGATGAATCCACAGATGGACAGCTTGTGATTGATAAATGGCAGGGAAAACCTGTGAGAGTATTGAAAAATATTGATCCTGTAGCATACTATGATCTATTTACAAATCGACTGGGCGATAAAGAGCAGTCTGCTGTACTAGGAAGTTATGATGAACAGAAAAAAATCTGGAGTAAGCCGTCCAATCAAACTGCTAATCCCCAGATAAGCCCAGTAATGATCTCTGACAACAGAAACTGATTCTTTTTTTCCCTTGTAGATAGCACAGAAGTTACGGTTCTATTGTAGATATTCTTCAACATAGAATCATGCTTCAAATGGAAACAGTTTACTGTGTTTTGTATACAGCTCAAACTAAAAAAGGAAAAAGAATAGATGCAATACAGAACAAGAATCTTATCAACGAAAATTTTTCTCTTTTATTACTAGAGAAAATTCTCTGCAATTTTGTAGTTCTTGTGTGAATCAAATAGTTATCGTGTCGACCCCTGAGTCAAAAGATGCAAGATTCATGCTTCAGTTGCCTGCACTTTGCAAGTGGCAGAGACAAGGCGATCCCATCATTTCCGTGGATGGACAGAAAACGAAATAAATTGTAATCCCATTAGATATGCTTCTTTTTAAATCAATGACGGTCCTTTCCATTGTTGGTGGTAGGGCTGTCAACAATAGGTTTTTTTTTTTTTTTTCTTCCCAAGCAATGGAACTTGATCATTACTTTAGAAAAAGACCACCGTTTAGTGGGGTTTATGCCTCTTTTCCCTCTAATTATTTTAATAGAGAAAGAAATTGACACCACAAGTTTTCAGCATGTATACCTTTAGGCACAAGACAGAGACAGCCACAACAGATTATGTTTTGACATAGTAAAGCATAAAATCTTCACAATAGATTCACATACTTCTGTTTATCAGCAAAGGACTAAATACTTTTTTTCTTTTAACTCTTTATTTGTCTCTGCACGCATGAATGCCAACTGAGAATAGCAATGAAGCCATGACCAATTACAGTAACAATAACAATGATACCAATAATCCTAGGCAAGATGCCACTTTTGTGGGATTTTGTTCATTAGAACTGATCAGGAGCTTCATTATTATTTAAAGTTTATGACATGGGAATGATCCCAAGTAAACATGCAGGTAAAGCGGTAAAACAAAAGTTAACCTTTCAAAATATTTAACCACATGACACAAGTGATGTCAAGAGCAGTTGTGCATCATTATCTCGAACTCATGGACTTATACAATGGACCGAAGAAGGAGCACCAAAGCAGTTTTTGACTAGTATCCAAGGAGCAGTTCCTGATTATTTTTCATGCATAAGATGGGGGAAGGTTTTGAAGCAATTTGACACAATCAATCATTCATAAATTGTAATTTAAGCTATTGCTTAGCCATTTAAGCAACACTGGACATTTTCAAATTGGCAACTTGAGAAGTTCACTAGCACGACAAGATACACATGATAAAAGGAACAAAGCGTGATAATAAGAGAAAGGTAAACAAAAAGTTTCTCTGCTTAGGAGTGGAACTGGCGTCATACAAGCACAAGATTCATTAGTCGAAACCAGAACCTAATATTGTGCCAGAAAAGAAGTGGATCTCCAAAACCATATATGTTACTCCACAAACCACCCATCAATCGTTTCCTTCCGTTCAGGGTGTTAAGAGCTCATTTCTATGATAGGAATTGATCCACCAGCTGCCACAATTTGTTGCTCAAGCTGCAATCAATAACAAATACTTTCTATCAGTTGAAATCATTATAAAATAAACATGCTTTTAGGTAGAAGTCTAATGTACTCACCCTAAACATAGTTTCAAGCTTGTTCTTCACAAGGTAATACTCTTGTTTCACTTGTTGCAGACATCTCATGCACCTGATGTTATTAAACTTCTTTTATTAGGCATGAAAAATCATGAATCATGAGCTGAGTCCTCAGATTCAACAGCCAAATGTAAAAACAAATAGAGGAAAAAAATTTACGTAAAGTAGCTTACGCTTCAGTATTCTGCTCCTCACAGAAATTCCGAAATGCAATGCAGGCATTTTTAACTCTTTGTGCACCTATGCTGTTAATAACCAAAAACCATGGTGAACCAAGCAGGAAACACTTGCTTTATAATTTTCTTTCTTTCTATCTTTTATCTCTAACTTTGTTTGTCCAAAACTTTGATTGTCGGATCTTCACAAAATCACACCTATTTTCTTAGAATTATTCCACCTTTTATAGCATAAATACATGATTCAACAATAACAAAACCAATCAAGAATGACACATAGGAAATGGTTTCATAACTCCATAATACAGATCAGAAATGAAGAGCCGGGATGAAGACTCAAGGGTGCATGGCTTTGTGTACGTTGAAGTAATATTCAGGGGAAAGAAAATATGAGGAGAATTTAGAAGTACCTGGAGCTGCTACCCTTCAACTGATGAACATGAGCATCAACCTTTTTGAATTCCACATTCGTTTGATCTCTATGTTGAAGAATTAGGTTGCGAAGAAAGAAAGCAAAAAGGAAATCAAAGAAGAACCTCAGTTGTGTCAACTAGAACAATCATAGCCAAAACACCATAGCCCAGAAAGCAAGCAGACTCAGAGAGAGAAAGAAAGAAGTCTTACAGAGCCCTAGTGAGTTCATTGAGGAGCTTTTCAGAATCTTCAAAGAAGAGCGAAACTACTTCAACAACAAAATCTGGATTGTTCTCATCCTGTAGCTGCTGAAGCTGTAAAAACTGGGAATCCAAGAACCCCTTTACCCCCACCAACAAACAAAAGGGCCAAAGCAGAACATCAGAAACCCAGAAAGGAAAAACCAAGAAAAAGCAACAAAATTAGCACAAATGGATCAAATATACCAAAACAAGAAGAAGAAAACAAAACAAAACAAACCCAAATGAGGATTAGCTTACCTCCATAAACAAGGATTTTGTGTAGTCGACCAACCTCCTCTGCATCTGACCCACCTCCATGCCTTGGCCTTTGTCTTGTTCTTCTCTTCTCTGCACAAAAACACACCCACTCTGCTTTAAAAAGCTGTGAACCCCAATGAAACTTGTGGCTTAAATTGCAGATCTTGGTGGAATTATTGCACAATCAGAGGAAAAGGGAGCATAAATGCTTACAACCCTTGAAAGCGAATTGATGAATTTAATGCGTACGTGCAAAAATCCAAAAATTCTCCCCTCTGCTTTTAGTTATTGTCTGGTACCAGCACAGTGCCACCCCACAGACCTCTCCTTTTTTTTAACTTTTCTATGGATTTTCATTCTGATTTTTTTTGGGTATTTTCTCACAGAATCTCAGTCTCAGCCCCCACCTTTCTGTTTCATTTTTTTGCTCAACCTATTTATCACTCCATTTAGGGGGGGGGGGAAAAACTCATTAATCCTAACATCTATCCTCCTTCGTCCTTCCCCACTTTACTCACCATTTCTATCCTTCAAATTCATTCCAATTTTGTTTTATTTATTTTTCCTCTTTTTCTTTGAATTATAGATAATTGTTGATTTTTTTTTTTGGTACAATAATTGTTGAATGTATAACACATGGGGTTGACGTATAAATGGCTTAAATTTCAATAAAAGACGAAAGCTTTTTGCTTTTTTTGAACAGAACTTTGAAAAAAGGAAAAAGATGGTCAGAATGACAATTGTTGATAATAGAACAGTGATAACATTTTGCAATTTTGATTACAAAATATTTTTTTAATAATGGAAACTTAAATCATAATGAAGAATTGGCAAATTTTGTTTTGTAACTAATAATTTGAGTGCAAAAGGAAATTAATTAAGGCATGCATTTTACCCATCTTTATTGAGAGCTTTAAAAATATTAAAAGACTTCTCCTTTAATGGAATTGAAGGGTAAAGTTTACATCTTTTCTCTTTGAAACGGTTAACAAATAAAAGAAAAAAAAATGTTCAATCTTTTGTAATTTGAATATGTCAAAATAAAATTTATTTGATTGAAAAGTTCCTAATATGAAAGGTTCTACTTCAAATCTAATAATTTATATTAAGTAATATAATATCATTTAAATTACTTAATACTTTTTTTAATGAAAAACTTGGTTGGAAAACATCATCAAATTTTAGTATTAAGTGGAAAATAAGTGGTCCTTTATGAACCAGAAAGGTAAAAGGTAAAAATGAAAAAAAGTCTTTGGAAAAAATCAGACAAGGGATGTAGCATCAATAGTCCCTCCAAAGATGGAGCCATCAGGGAACAGGTCCTGTCATAAAATAGATGGAAAATGCTTCACAGTCTGCAGACCACCTTCACTTCATTTCATTTCATTTATAAAGCTACAATCTTTACCGGGATTTGTTGATTTAAGTTCCACTTCGAATGCCCCCCTTCCAAAAGCATGCCATGTGGTGAATATTGACTGGTAACAACCCGGAATCCATAGGTAGGTAGATGTCTTTGTAAGAATTTCTTCTCCATGTTTTTAGATACATTAGCCCAAGTTAGATTACATGATCAATAAAGTATTGTTTTACAGATAAAGTTGGAGTGTTGGAGTCATAACTCAAAAAATTTTTATTTGTTGTGATGCATTAGGTTGGTGTGCATGTGTATTTTTAAGATTATTTGAAAAAAAAATTAGTTTTCAAATATAAATAATGAAAAACATTTAGATAATTTGAAGCAAAGAAACAAAAATTAGGTTATTTTTGAGTGAAGGATTGTAATAAAATATTGGTTTTAAAGGTCAAGAGAATTGTAGGAATTTGGCTCCTCCATGTCTTTTACATACATTTATCTTGATTCTTTTGGGGGATCAAAGGATTAAAAAATATTGTCATCCAGCTAATCTCAAATTTACAATATCTGGAGTAGAAGATATGCTCTTACAGAGATATTTTTCTTTTAGAGCAAAATCTCATCTTAGGGTTTCTTTTTTTGGGACAATGGACAGAGAATCCTTATCTCGATGTCTCTTATATTTAATGTTTGATTTTAATTTTAGGGGAACTAATACTGAGGTGTTTGAAGGCAAAAAAGAAGAAAAAAAAAAAAAGAAAAGAAACTGCAGTGTTTATGTATCAAAAAGAAAAGTGTCTTGGTATTTATGATGAAGCTGTTTTTTTCATTAATTTTTATGCCTTTGGATATAAAATTCCTCTTTTGGGTAATCTTAAAGGTGATCCCCACGCAACAGTTTTATATTTAAGAAAATTAATTTTTTAAATGTTAATCCAAAAAATTAAACTCTGAATTTATTTTATAAAATAATATTTATTTATTAATGAATTCAATCTTAAGAGTTAAAAAAAAAAGTTTCAAAATTTAGAATAAAAGTTTAGATTGCAAACCATTAATCATTTTATAATAAGGGGTCCCTTGATAATATAAGTGAGCTCTTTTATTTAATAATTAGTGTTTTATAGTCTAATATAAATTTGTATATTTGTACAAAATACTTTGTAAAAAAAATAAGAAAATATTAAGATTTAGTTTGATAATGTTGTTTGTAGTTGCAGTTATAGGTTTTTTTGGTCTTTTTAACATCTCAAAAATATACATTTTATATATTTAATATTTATTTTAATTAATATTTTTTATATTTTTAAAATAATAAAAAGACAGAAGAAGAAAAAAACACCAAAAATTGTTGTGAAACAAAACCGAAAACATTCAATTTCAGTCATTAAATATACAAAATATATTATAGACCCTACATTTATCACATTCATTGCATAAGTATTATCATATATTCAAACATTTTTAATAGCAGCACATAATTTTTTATGGCTAAAACTTACTTTTAATCCTTTACCTTAATAAATTTATAGATTTTAGCCTCCTACTTTATCCTATAACACTTTTAGCTTTTTATTTTAATAAATTTGTAGGTTTTAACCCACCACCTTATATTATAACACTTTTAACCTTTCACCTATACAAGTTGAAGAAAATAACCATTACTTAAGATCAGGTTATAATGTTCTGTTAGTTCTATTGGCTGATTATTAGCATTCCATTAGCATTCCATTAACGGAACTAACAAATAAAATTGAATTTAAATTTCATGTTTTTTACAATGGAATGTTAACAAGTACTAACAGTCAGCTAAGAGAGCTAACAATCAACTAATAAAGTTAACAGTCAACTAACAGAACTAATAAAATGTTATAATCTTATGTTAAACGAGGACTATTGCTTTCAATTCTCATAGGTGATGGGCTAAAAGTATCATAATATAAAAGTATCATAATATAAAGTAAAAGGTTTAAACTTACAAACTTACAAACTTATCAAGGTAAAAGGGTAAATGTGTTATAATATAAGGTGGCACTAAAACCTACAAATTTATTATGATTTTCTTTTGTCAAAAGTGCAAATTCAAAGTGGACCTTCATACTCATAGTCCGTGATCCACTAATATGATACTCCTACCGTTAATGATGGCAAGTTCATGGGTTAACCACAAAAATTATGAGTGAATTTTAACAAATTAAATTAAAATTTTATTTTCAAAATAAAATTTAAAATTTAAGTTAAACCCTCAATTTGATTCTTCAATTATTGTACGGACCTCTGATTTGGTATTTAAATTGAAAAAATCTTTGATTCCTATTGTTTATCAATTTGACCATAAATTGGTCTTTTTGTAAAAAAAAAAAAAAGATAGCATATCTCCTTATTAACGTAATATATGACTGTTAAGTAATGATTTTTTGTCGTTAATTAACAAACATATCAACTATTTTTTAACGAAAGAACCAATATAAGGCCAAATTAATAAACAATTGAGCCTAAATCAAAAAAATTTTTAATTTAAAAACCAAATTGGGGTCTTTACAATAGTTGAAGGATCAAATTAAAAATTTAACCTACAATTTATGAGTCAAAACTTCGAGAGTCAGGTTATAGTCAGTCTTTGCTAATCCGCAACTCAAATGTAGTCTGCCCATTTGCAAGGCATAACATCTCAAGATGTTTTTTGGAACCAATAATTTCATATTGACATCAATGAGAAACTTTCTTTCTATTATTATTGCCCAAGTCCCTTGTTGGAGATGAGCTATTTTTTTAAGCCGAAGGCACAGACAGGAGTTACCCGTCCCACCATTGATTCTAATAATGGGGATTGGAGTGGCTTGAGATTCAAGAGATTGTCGGGCATCTCATCATTGTCATAAAAGATTTTATTACAACTAATAATTTTATCTGTAATTTTTTAAGTTTTTAACTTTTTTTTAAATAGATAATTATAATATTTAAAAACATTTATTTATAAATTAATTTAAATTTATTAAATAATAAATATTAATTATTTTATTAATTATTAATTATTTTTAATAATCAAATTAAAATTAAATTTGATGGTAACCATAAGGGCAACTGGATCAATTGGTCTAATTCATTGGGTAGCCCAAAAAAGAGCGACTGTTCTATAATCTGCAAAATCAGATATTCTCATTTCTAGAGAAGTTGACAAGCATTAGCAAAATCTTCTATAGGCCTCATTTTCTTTCTCTAAACATGATGAGGATCTCTAGCATGAGCCAAATTTCATGGCATCACCAGATCTTTTTGGTTAATAGATTAATCAGGACACCCTAATTTAGCAGGCAACTTAACAAGTTCACAGAGAAGATGAGTGTGTAAAGAAGTTTCATCTTATTCACGCACAAGTTGAATAAGAAAAACTCCATTTCTAAGCTCTGCTGAACATGTCATTTTGAAAAACATCAAAAGTCCAATTCGCATTAATTTCAGAATAAAAGAGGGTGTGGGTTGGGGGGGGGGGCGGCGGGGTAGTCCAATGTAGGGTAGATCCTGCTGGGTCTAAAGAAGTTAAAAAATGGTCTAAAATCTCAAATTTTAGTCTCCGATGGTTCCAGCAATTCAATTATGTCTGTGTTTCAATTAATAAGTGGCTGTTTCAAAAATGACAAGGTAGAAATGAGTTTAGGAACAATAGGTAACAAGTCAGGGCAAGAATGATGACGTTTAGTAAAGATTTAAATGAAGATTTAGTACAACAATGTTTTTCCTTTTTTGAAAATGATAGTAATTTGTTGGGTCATATGCAGCTATTGTCCACCAAAAACGTAAAAGAAAACCATTAACAGATAACCAACCTGAAAGGCCTAAACAAAATACTGTATGGGAAACATGTGATATAAAGCTAACATACTTTGCAGCTCCTTCTACAGTAGCCAGGTAGCTCCGGAGTTCCAACCATATACTCTGAGTTCTTGGAACACTCACCAAGGGCAGCCCATCTCTCACAACTCACATTCAGATCTGAGCAGTTCCCACCAACTTCCAAGGTCTTGTCGAATGAATCTACATGGACCCACTTTGTTGCAGACCATTTCTCACCTTTAATCACTGGGCACCCAGCGTGGAGGCTGCTTGGGTCAGGAACAGCATTTGGATGGAGACTGAAGAAAAGAAGGGCATCCCCTCTTCGTGGTTTCACTAAATATATGCAAGGTAAGAACAAAAGGCAACAACAAAAATACATTAGCAAACCATAGCTAAAGCAAAAGTAATTGTAAATATCATAAGAAGATTAAAGTTTAGTGGATCACCTGCAATTCCTTTCTTTGCACATTCAGAGAGATTGTCTTTCGTTTCAGCAACTTTACGGCGTAGAGGTTCCTGATAATAAAGTTACATGATGAATAGGCATCACTAGACTAGCCTCAAAGAATGACATTGGCAAAAATTCTCATACTAACAGCCAGAAAATGTTGAACCCAAGTAAATATTCTCATTCGCACCCCGCTTCCCCAGCCAAAATCAATATCTACCCTGCCCATTTAAAAGTGAGTGGGCGAAGACTGACTGTTGGTCATCCCTAAATGTTAAATACTTACTAGTAGTGAAGAATTGATTTATAACTCTTGTTTCATTTTGGAATTGATTATCTTTGTAGCAGCATGGATTTTGTAGCAGCATAACTTGCTGCTTTGCATTGTATTACAGGATTGGATGGAATAAATTTTACATTTTATCCAAAATATAAAAAAATAAAATAAAATACTTACTAGGAGATTAAAGAATCAGGAGATTCAGAAAATATGAGCCACCATGAAAGTCAAGCAGCTTAAAGAGATTGCATGAGTATTAGGAATAGGGGGAAAAATGAATATGGTACAAACCTCAGCCGAAGGGAACACTGTTTCACCTCCTTTCTCTACATCTGTGAGATACATGAGCACAGTTGCCAGGCGGTGCCCACCCCTGGCAATATTAACCTTGTCAACAAAGTAGTCATAGTGTGGATCATATTTCTCTCCATGCTCGTATCTCAATACTTGTATATCTTCTCCATTTTCTGGAAATCAGTGAACAAAAATTATGTTCATAACTTACCAATGGCATTCCTTTTGAACTGAAAATTCCCTACTTCAATATCAGTACCAACAATAAACACACTATACTGCCATTAATCTGTTAATTCTGTTTCTCTCTTCGCACAAATCCAGTTTTATAAAATCTCGCAAGTATTATACCTTTTGGAAGAAACGTCCATGCCGAAATCTTGTCCTCTATACCAGCAATAATAGGATCCTATAGAAAGGAAAAGTTATAATTTATAAAGATGGCAACACAACATAATGCAAATTGAAGCAACATAAAACAATCAAATGCAAAACAATCAATTTCAATGCCATTACTTACTGATGGCCTCTACCAAAACCACAAGCCACATTGCTAAACTACATACCATTTAACTCTACCACCATCATTAACAAAAACCGACAAAGATATGATCTTGTTATTAAAGGAAATAGCAGAATTGCTTTTCCCAAAAGCAAAAAATTTTCCTGTTTGCAAGTAAAACTAGATATGATTCATAAATATGTTGAACTTTCTTCCACGTGTTGCTTGTGTGTGCAATAAGTAATCTCCATACCAATATTACCAGTACGATCAACCAATTGTCCAGAGAATATTAAAATCAAGCTCGAAAATTAGTAGTTCACCTCGATAGTTCATAAGCAGTCATAAGTAGTACACAAATTTAGAAGCAATGAGGAACATTTATACCATCCTCAATTCCTCACACTAAAAATGATTAAAATTGAAGCAGAGTAATTCAAGAAGTCACCTTTCCCTTGGCGATAAACATCCCCGAGCTAGTACGAACTTCACTGAGCTTGCTCTTTCCACTCTGGTTATCTGCAACAGCAGATCTCTTCAGCTCCGATTTCGCCTTTTCACAACACCAACAAACAGTATCAACAACAACTAAATCAAGATCAAACAAATTAAACCTCAAATTCGAAGAAACTAGCAGAGGTACTCACAAGAGAGATCAAGTGATCACACTCCAAGTCGGTGAGGAAACCTTCATAGACAAAAGCCCTGAAAACCATAAAATTCATCATCAACCGAAGCTCATCCTCCCCCAAACAAAACAAAATGCTAGCAGTACAACAAAGATTCAAAGCATGGAAAGAAGATCGAAAAGGAAATGAGAAGATAGACCTGGGTTTCCAGGAAATCTGTTTGACTTTAGAGGGATTAATGATTGAGATCGGAGAAGTGTACGTGCTGCAAGACTGACGAAACACCAAAGCTATCAACAGCAAGAAAAGTAATTGCAGCGGCGAGATCTTGGTAGCCATGGCGACGATTCGGATCTTGAGAGCCACAGCGAAAGCTGGAGAAGAAGAGAGATTTTCCGGGAAAAGTCCAAATTTTCTGGGGAAAATAGTTCTTCTTACTTAACTACCACAAGAGAGAGACACGAAGTCCGCTCTGTCCGATTGGCTACGGAGAAGAAGACTGCGTCATTTTAAACCACCTTTTTTTTTTTAATGGAAGGAAATAATTAAACAATTTTTTTTTTTGGGCAAAAAAGGGTTTTCATTAATGTTGATTGGTTAAATACCCTTTTTTTTCCTCTACCACATTGAAAAAGCCCCCTTTTGCCCCTATACTGAAATTTAATATTTAACTCCTTTTTTATCCTTCCATAAATTTTTACTTCATATGTCACATTAATTAATGGGATCATTTAATTTTTTTTTATATAAATGATATAAAAATTATATGGATAAAATTATAAATCTATATAAGCATTTCATTTAAATATTTTGTGTCACATGTAAAATTAAAAATTTTACTTTTTAATTCATAAATTAAATGAATTTAAATAGAATTAACTTTAATTTATTCATCTTATTTTTTCTCCTCATCCTTATCTTTATCTTTATCCTTATACTTGGCATCCTCTTTGCCACCCTCTTCAACTCTTCATCTCACGGAACCTAGATTTGGGTTCTGACCCTTTTTTTTTTTTTCTTCCATAAAAGAGTCAAATAAAACTAAAATTTCATGTTTAAATTGTGTTCAATATTTGGGTTTGTAACTGGAGGTGATAGATTCATGTTGTTGTGTTCATATTGCTATGAACTCCATGACCTAGGTTAATAAGAAGAAAGGGTTGAAAATCTAAAGAGTAAAGAGAAGAATCTATTTTGTAGGGGAGAAATTAGGGTCTATAGTATTGATAAATCATTTTAATTAGTAATTAATTTTTATTTTTAACAATGAAAATATTCCTATAAATTCTCAATTATATCTAGAATAATCTCATATGTAAAAAGTTGATTATGAATGAAAAACAAGAATTTTGAAATAAAGAAGATGATATCTAGAGAGAAAACTAAAAACATTGATTAGGGTTTTTTTTTTCATACAAGAGAATGACATAGAGGGGTGTTATTAACTCCACATAAGTGCTTTTACATGATTTACATGATGGAATATCCATGTCAAATGTTTTTGTTAAGATAACAAGCCATGCGAGTAAAAATTAATGGAGAAACTAAAAAAAAAATAGATTTTAAACTTTAAGAACCAAAAAAGAACTTTTTCCAATAGTAGAGGGATCAAAAAGGGTATTTAACCATGTTGATTAAAATAAAAAATAACTAATAATTAATTTCCTAAAATTTCACTCAGTTGTACTGAGTTTTTCAAAATCTTTCTATTTTTAAAGAATTAGCGAAATGTTACTTTCTTTGGTTTACTAAAATGAAATCTATTTTTTACATGAATCGTTAGATTTTTCTTCTAGAAAACCAATAACTTCGTATTTATTTAAAGGGTAGTGATATAAGTATAATTTTTTTATATTATATTTTTATATAATTTTTACATATAATTAAATGGATGGATATTTTTAATATTGCGAATTTTAAATAAACAAGAAAATTAATTATTTAAATAACACATAAAACTATATAAAAAATAATATAAAAAATTATTTTTAAATCATTTTTCTTATTATAAATGAAAATAGAAGAACAATTTTATTATTTTAAAGGGTTGTTTTTATTCTACATATTTAGGATACAAGTTAAAGATATAATAAATATATTTTTTATAATTAATTTATAAAAAAATAAAAATTAACTAAAATTTAATCAATTAGTTAATTAAAATTATTTACAAAATAATAATGATGACATTAAAATAAAAATTAATTATAAAAAAATATTTATTATACTTTTAATTTATATTCTAAAAACATAAGGTAAACAAATCTCATCTTAAATACCATAACCTTTAACGTCTTGACTTTTACTCTCTCTTTTTTTTCAAAATAAAAATGAGTTTCGGGAAAATTATTTCCTTCAGTGTAATCTATTCTAGATACGATAAAAAAGGTTGTGTACTCCACACATTAATAAAGGCAAAAATGGATCACTAAAACTGTTTGTCACATTTCCTGAGAACAATACAATAACACATGACACAAATGACAATTTTCTGAAAATTGTTTTACAACAATGTATCATAACCTTTGCAAAGGTGATGATTCTTCATCCAAAAGCAATGCAAATTTCTGAGGACTGAGAGTAGGAAAATGAATTTCTTCACTCTGCTCTCTTTTGAACCTGCTCTGTTTACAGGATTGCTGTCTATGGATAAAACTGATTCAGTTCGGAGTGGGTGAATCTAAATTGGAACTCTCAGAGTCTAGAAGTTCCTGAAAGAAATGGATTTAAGAATCACCTATATGTAAAGAAGTAAAATGGTTTAGATTTCATTCTAAGGGCCTGGAAAAATTACCTCCATGTGGCGATTCATGTCACTCAAATACTTGGTTGAGTTGTATTCTTCAGCATCTAAGAGTTCCTCTGAGTAAGTCCTTTGAAGTTTAGATTTTTGCTGTAGTTTTAACATTTCCAGATTAGCATCACCCTTTAAAATGTCTACGACCTGCATAACATGTGAATCAGATCATCTGCTTGCAATGGTGGGATTATAGAATTGCCATGAGAAAACATGATTTTCTGTCAAAGTAAACATGGAGCAGAAGTTCAATCAAGCAAATATAAAATTCCAGTCAAAACTCCCTTGTGTCGTTGAAATGATATTCCAACATGATATCTTATTTGCTCTACAGTTATATTGTTAATTATACTAAAACATAATAGCTGCATGAAGATATAACAAGGTATCTTTCTTAAAAAGGACATGCCTCACTCATTTGGGGTCGGTTCATTGAGGATGGATTCACACACATAGAAGCAATGGATATGAGGCAGTCCAACTGAGCTGTATCATGGGCATCCCAAATAGTTGGATCAACAAGCTCTTTGATACGATTGTTGCTAATCAAAGGCTTGGCCTGAAATAAATTGTAAAATGAACTTGAATCCCAGGAGTGCAACATGGATAGATTGCAAATATGATTCCAGCAAGTTGGAGAAAAGCCAACATACCCACATAACAAGACTTTGCTGAGAACTATCTAAAGCTTGCCTCCCAGTAATTAGCTCTAATAATAGTACCCCATAAGCAAAGACATCTGTTTTCTCATCTACGATGCCATGCATGAAGAACTCAGGAGGAAGGTATCTGCAATGACAAGAACTCTGATGAAATTGTAGAGCCATAGAAAAAATATAGAAACGAATTCAGAAATTTGTTAAAGTTTTAAATGGCAAACCCAAATGTCCCTTCCACTTTTGATACAGTATGATGAGTCCATTGATCCGGTAACCACTTTGCAAGCCCGAAATCAGAAATCTGGATTCAATTTAAGTTCAACCTTGAGCTAGGTGCCTTTTAAGATAGAAGATATATATACAAAATCTTTACTGCATTTAGCAGTCTTTTCATCAACGTTACCTGAGCATCAAAGTCCTCGGTTAGCAATATATTAGCAGCCTTAATATCTTTATGGATAATTCTCCTTTGACATCCAACATGAAGATAGCAAAGGCCCTCAGCAGCCCCTAAAGCAATCTTGAATCTGATTGCCCAAGTCAGTTGTTCCTTTGGTCCTGGATAATATTAGCAAGAACACAAACTGCTAAACTTTTATGTGTTAAAAACTAGTTAAGGGATTGAACTTTGAAAATCAATATGCAAACCATAAAGCAATGAAGCAAGGCTCCCATGGGGAGACAACTGAAGAACAAGGTGCATTCCCCCTTCAACTCCATAGCCAATTAATTTGGCGATATTGGGATGATCAACATGGACCATTATCCCAAGCTCGGACAAGAAGTCCATTGTCATTTCCTCTGGAGAACCTCTGGTTAGCAGTTTAATTGCAACATATTGCCCATCTTGCAATTTCCCCTTATAAACTTCTGCATAGCCTCCTTGTCCAATCAAATTTTCTTCAAAACAGAAGCACAGAAGAAATGTTTGTTAGTCTTGGACAGTTGTCTCCTCTGGTGACCTGCTTCTTTTCTGAAATTGGATCATAAAGTTGATTGAAATTGTCAAATATTGGTCAACAGGATGTCTGATATATTACCTTTGCTGAAGTTATTAGTTGCTTCCTGAAGCTCCGAGAGTGCAAAATTCTTCCATGAAGATTTGAAACAGTATAGTTCAGGATCCAAAGGAGAAGCCAGTGTTGGAACCATTTCCTCTCTTATTCTTTTGCTTTTTCTTCTGGTGAGTTTAGGAACATTTTTCAGATTGATATTGTTAGGAAGGTGCATTCCAGGAGGTCCTTTCTTCAGTAATTTCTTGAAGCCACGCCAGTGAAGGGCTGCACCTGGAAGTTCAAGGTTTTCTGCATCCAGTGAGGCGCTGTCCTTGGAAGAATCAGGAGAATCAGATTCTGGGTATTCCTCACTTATTGAGCAATATTCCTCAGGAACAGGGTTGAGAGCACCTCTTGGAGATGACTCAACTTTATCCTCTTCCTCAAGAACTAAAGATGACAAATCTGCTCAAATGATATAATTCTAACATTAAAATATATATAATTATGAAAATTCTTAGTGTCTAAAGGACATCAAAATTTATAATTTACCAAGGGAAGAAAGCGCATCAGAGAATCCAGCTCGTATTCTTCTGCTTATACCACGGATACCAGACCTTTTCTTTTCCTCATGTGCACTGTCCCGGGAACCATTGCTGCAATTGCAAACAGCTTGTCACTATAAAATCCAGATGATATGACAACATCTAGAGAGAGCAAAAGTTCAAATAACCCATGATTGAAAGAACCAAAATGCAAAGCTGGAAATATATGAAGAAAATTACAAAAAATTACCCATTAACCATCAAAGATGAACTGCCAGAGTATAAAGGGCCTTTGAAACATCAATTACAAAATAAAGGAAAAGACTAAGTTGAGTTCTGCATTTGACGGAGGAGACAACATAAAATATATGTTCTCTAAGTCCAAAGACGTTCAAAAGAATCATAACAAAGAGGGGAAACTAAAGAAACTTGAAAAAAAATAATGCATGTTTAAATGCCTGGAAATTGTTAGGAAACAAATCTAAAACCGTTCCAACCCATTTGTTCTCAAGGATTACAAGCTCAAAAACTAGGCCATGTAAGTTTTCTGGTTTGTTAAAAAATAAAAAAACACCTAGGCCATGTGATATGCAACATAGGCACATCTTCCTGGCCAAAAAAGAAAACATGGGCTCAATCTTAAACCCCCCATATGACATTGATATTACTAGCATTTTATCTTTATCCCCATTTGCCCTGTCCTTTCTTTCCAAGTTTTCCTTCTGATTAAGGCATTAAATCAGATAAACTCAAACCATTTAGACATTATGTCGAACAGATAGTAAACAGTAGCATCAAGGCACAATGCTGCAAAAAATGTAGAGGATTAGGAGAAAAGAATCAATGAATCCAATGCCTTAACAACATGAAACACCCAGAAAACAGAAAACGCATTAGACGAAGGCAAATACCTTCGAGAAGCAGGCGGTTCTTGGACATCTTCCATGAGTGCTCAATGGTAACAAAGCCAGAAAGCGCTGAGAGAAACCAAAAGGGGAAGCGTGGAAATGGCAGAGGAAGAGAGAGGAAGAGGATAAGGGGAGAGGATTGAGAGGGATGAAAGTAGCGGTGGGCATACATGACTGCCTTGTTTGATTCTCCAAAACCAGTAAATATGTTTGACACAATCACCTGATTTTGGTGCTCAAAAATCGGCTTCCTATCATGGGTTGTTTCCTTCTATACTTAGCATAAATTAAGGAACTTTTGAAGGTTTTTAAGAAGCTAGCATGTATTGGATATATAAAGTTCTGTCGGATGAAACAGCCGTTCCATTACAGTTACAGGCATTACGGGCAGAACCCCGACTCATTTGGGTCTTTGACACGTGGATGTAATAAAAACATCTTTTCATTGGGAGAAACATGGGCGCTCCTAACTCTTTTAAGTATAGTCCAAGTAAGCCCTCAATCTTTCGCTCTCCTCTTCTAATTGGGTGCCTAACTTCTTTCATGTTATTCGTGATAACCTAAAATTTAATGCTACTTTTTATTTTTAAAATATAGATTATATAATAAAGGATAACCATTTTCAATAAAGGATAACCATTTTCTTCTCTTGATTCCTTTCATCAAAGTTGTTTTTTTTTTTTTTTATCTTGATTACACAATATGAAGCAATTATCTCTTATCCCTTAACCATCTCTTATCCCTTATTTCATTCCACTCGCATACCATACGACTTGAATTCATAATCTTTTACTACCAGTGAAAGAAAATATTCATGGAGTTACTTAAGTCGTTAATATCAAAGTTGTTAATACTTAATACTATAGTAGTATGTGTATTTATTTTACTATTAGTACGTACCATATATAGAACAATTTCATGTATTGTTTTAGATTTATTGCTTAAATATATTTTTTTTATATAAATTAAATATCAATTTTGAAAATTATACTTATAAATCTAAAGATACATGAGAATATTTGTACGGTATTAAAGAGAGAATAAATTACAATTAATTTATCATAACAAGTGGACTCAAATTTACCACCTATAATGTTACCTTTTGTTTATATGAAAATAGTGCATATCAGCTTCACCTCCTAAAAATTAGAAGGAAAATCATTCCAAAACTATATCGTTTCAATAAATTTTTATTAAAAAAGATTAAACTACCTTATTTTTAAAACATGAATTAAAGTGATTTTTGTCTTCTTTTTTTTTCTTAATTTTTAGAGGTAAGGCAAACAAATACTAACCCCTATTTATATTCCAAAATATCAAAACACTCCAATGCTTTGACTTTACAACCTTTTCTTCTTCTAGCCATTAATGATCTAACACACTTTGCTACTCTTCTCTCTCTTTAAAACTTTTACTTCCTTACTCAAAGTTTCGATGAGGCTCTATATCTACCACTTCAAAGGTTCTTGTAATTTTCAAAAATTGTTACGGATAGCATTTCTTTTATGCTCTATACTGTTAGGCTTCAAAGGAAATCTACATTTTCAAATTCTCTTTTTATTTTCTTGTCTTATTTGGGTATAACCTAGATTATATTTTAGGTTGCATTCGGTGCTTAAGCTTTTTTCCCTTTTCATTTTCTAACATTTTCCATTTATATGTTGTTTATGTGCATCGGCCAAAAAGTTTAATATCGTCCAGTACAATCAACATTCGATCGACACAATTGGTATTTGACACAAAACAATATTTAAAGCATACTGTAGTAGTTTTACTCTCAAATCAGTAAAAATCAATTATACTAACCAATGTATGCTAAAATCGATAACCTTGCTCTCCATCCATTCTTTTCAAGCTCTTAACCACTTGAAACACTCCTTTGAGCCTAAAATTTAATAGTATTTATTAGAGGTAATGGTCATTTATAGAGGTAATGGTCATTTATAGGATCGTTTCCATTGATTTGAATCATTCAATTAGCATAATTAAAAAAGATTATGGATCTAATTGTGACAATTAAAGGTAGGGAAGATCTAGTCAACTTATCAATTTTTTCTAATCATCTTTTTCTATTCCCGCAAATCGCTGTAGATTCTTTTCTTCGTTGTCTTTTGAAGAATACCATCACTTCAATTAAATTCCTTCAAAATGCCATAAAAAAAAAAAATTCCTTCAAAGCCTTAAATGGAGTTATTCATCACCCATAAGAAGTGTTAGGCTAAAAGGCCTTTCTTCCAGCTCTGAAAAGCCTAACTTGAAGGGAGGAGGAAGACAACACAGGGAGAAGCCCTAACCTTCCAATCATTACATCTTCATGTTTTGACTGTTCCTCTGCTTGTGGGTGTTGGAATTGCAGAGCTGTATCTGCATTCCAAAACAAGGGTGACCATTATGATAAAATGTCATTGTTCAGCAGCGAGCTCCAACAAATAGATTAAGAAGCTAGACTGGTTGATGTAGTTCAATGGTTAATGTACCAAGCTTACGGCCTGATGACTGTCGAGATGGAGGAGCTTTGGCAAAATGAGTAATGAATCTAAGAAGTTTATTAATTGTCATCTGAGTTGTGTTCATTTGACATACATTTGGAAATTTTGAATCTTGCACAAATTTACAGTAGAGGAGAATATCCAAGAGAAGAGTTGCTAATACAAGTTTAGATACGGGCATTATTGTGTACTCTACAGCAGAAAAATCTCAACTAAATTGCAACGTGGTAGAACCAATGTTTCAAACCCTAGGGATTGTTTCACCTGCTTGTTCTGATGGATATTAGTCCATTACAACTTACGAGCAATCAAGCTCTCAAAGGTTACATAGAGGTCCTTGTTTTCTTCACCAAAAATCTCCTCAGCCTTGTGTAATGTTTCCTGTAATCCACATAAACATGGAGCATAAAAATGTTGAAAAGAAAGATGCAAAGAACGTGAATATAAGAGAAAAGAGGAGGGAAATAGCATACTTCTTTTGTTTGCTTGTGAGAATTGAACTCCTTGACATTTGCCAGAAATGCACCAAACTGCTCATATGACAACCGGCTCCTGAAAAAATGAAGGTAAGAATAAAAAAAAATGGACAACGTGTGATGTGTCTTGTTCAACAACGAATCATAGGCAAGTATCCAAAGACATTACAAAAGTAGAAAGGCATGTAATGATTAAGAATGACTTTTGATAAAATCTGATAGTGTGGCTCAGAAAATAGTTAAATATGAGTGGTTTGGAAGTAGATGGCCCTGTTCAACCCAAAAGCCAAAAATGTAGTGTTTGAGTTGTTGAATCTAGGGTAACTTCACAAGGGAAGCACAATTCATGAAGCAACCAGACTAAATGAGAAAAAGCAGTGCAGCTTCAGGATTACAATTTGCCTAGGGAAGTGATACAACTTTCTTATTTAGGATGTATTTACCTGACTTGACGAAAGAACTCTTTTCCATCAACACGAGTGCGTCCTGAAGAATAAAAAGGGAAAACGTAAGAGAAGGTAAATAACATACTGAAGCTACTAAAAATCATTATTATTAACATTTTTTCTTATGAAATACTTGGGATCATTATTAGTTAAGTAGTTGCAAGAATAATTTACTCATGCAAAAGTATTCTTGGGATCAAAAAGATCAGTTCCATGACCATTCCAGTGTTTATAGAGTCAATACCACTGCTATATAAATGGGAAACTCTTACAACTACAACAAACGAGCAAAAATCTAATGATTTTCAGTAAAACCATTATTTAGACAGAATGAGGCATGAAACTGTCAAATAATTGTGACAAGAACATCGCCGTCTATTAACTTGCAACTACCAAAGAGATCTAGTAAATCATGTTGCTACTTATTCTTTCCAAAAATTTATCTTTTTAAACAGATATTCTGAAAGAAAAGGTGCAAGGATTCAGAAAACTTCAGTTAGTAGACCAATAGGCATGGCACTTAAGGGCAACGGCATCCAGCCTTTCAAGCAATTAGATTCCAGATAGTCTCCATCCTAAAAGAGTAGTTTGGAGCTAACCAGAGTGGGATCCTGTGTCAGAGGTTGATATTGAACTGTGATGGCTTGAGGGCACAGAAGAAAATATAGAAGATCTATCATCAAACATGCCTCTTGAGGTAGAGAATGACATTGAATGTCGCCTTGGAGATCCTGGCTTCGATGTTCTTGTGGGAGACACAGAAGCTGACAGGCTTGGGGGAGAACCTGGAGGAGTTACTCGAGGTGTGTTTGTTTGTGACACTAACAGCAGGCCATGTGATATGCCAGGTATGCCTGGTTTTGAGGCTGCCAACATATTAATATTTTGTAAGGAAATATATGAAAATATCTGGGAAAATGGAAAGAAATCGACTTTAATGCACTGAACTGCAAAATTTTGCCTTTTGACATGGTACCTTTGGAGCCTGAACAACTCCACCAACTCATACAAAGAAGGTTCTTAAGCAAAGTCTAAAAGATTTTAATAATGGAAAATATTCATGTCATGAATTACTTTTGGAATTTTGTCAAAACCAACAGATAGTGGTGTACCATCCGTCTCACGATCCTCTGCAAATGAATTCCCTATTTCAAAGTGGCTGCGCATTGAAGAAGTTCTTGATAGCCAGCTGGCATCATCTTCTGAAATAAATTGGAGTCAACGTTATAAACCAAGAGCCCCATCATAACTCAAGGAAGAGAAAAAGTGCTTTGCAAGTACTGCCAAAATATTTCATGTTCTATGGTATATATAGCCTACCACTAAGAATTATTGGGACAAAAACCTTAGATGCAATTTATATACTTTCAATTAGATTATAAAGTTTCCTTACAAATCATACAGCCATTGCTGAAGAATTTGAAATTATCAACCAGTTTTGTTAATTTGTTCTACCAATATTTTCATTCTCTTTATACTTTTATGAATTAGATACCCAAATTTCCATCAAAACTCAAGATTGAATGGTCCCTGACAAGCCACCGCATTCATTTGCCCCAGAAAACCAATATTAGACCCAAACTCTGCCAAGTTTCAGTCCCAGTGTATTTACACAAGATTCTACCAAGCCCTATAAAAAGGGCAACTTTTAAAAGAGCCACATAAGTATTCTATATAGAAAATAAGCATCCAAGCATAATCAACTCAATGAGCTCCAGTCAGTGGTGAAGAAGATAAAAAGAAACAAATCAACCACACCTGTTGGTGTTGGCTTTGCAATGATCTGGGTACCTCCACTCTGCAGCAAAACAAGACAAAGAATGAAAGAATGGAAAAAAACCAAAGTTTAATCATCACTAGAAACAGATTCTTGGATAAATCAATTAGGAACATCAATGGACAACAACTTACCGAACTTTCATCATCCTCTTGAAGCGACTGCATAAGTGTCCTTCTGAAGACCTCCAACTGCACACATTACAAAAGTCATAAAGACTTCAAAATACATTGTCTCACTCCTTAACACCCCCCATCAACCCCTACTCTTTTTCAACATATTCTACATCCCACAATACTAATCCAACAACTCAAATTTTACCAGCGCTAGAGTTCCAGCATCCATGAGCAGCACATTGATAAGATATGTGTAATGGGATTTGTTCACTTGGCACAAAAAAATCAAAACTTTACCACTTTGGCTGGCCTAGAGCAATCAAATGCATGATCATAATGCACATAACGCAAAGCAAAATGCTTGCTTTTCATCAACAGAAACCCCACAAAATGAAATTGTACCAACAAATTTCTTTATTTCTTCATCAATTTCACCATACCTTCGAGACATCTCTGTGAAGCTTCCTCACGGTATTGGAAAGTGAAGCATTATCCTTCAACAAGCTCACCTGCAACCCAAGAACACAGTCAATCTGAAATCAAATTTAAAAACGAAAAGGGTATTTGAAATTCGACTCGGACCTTTTCAAGGTCGGCCCGGGCAAGCTTGTCGGCGGTGTCTGAGAGGGAGGCGTCGAGGGACTCAATCTGCGCTTGGAGCTGGGCGATGAGTTCATCCTTCTGGGCGAGTTGAGCACGGAGAGCGGAGGACTCTGATTCAACCGAGGAGACACGTGTAGAGAGAGCAATGGAGGTGATTTTGCGGGCAACATCGAGTTGGTCGAAAGGATCAGACGGCAAAACTTGCAAGACCTCCTCGGGAAGATCGAAGGTGGAACCACCCGATTCCCCCGCCAGCATCTCTCTCCTACCAAGTCTACTCCCTTTCTTTTTTTCTTTTTTTCTTTTTTTTTCTTTTATTTTTATTTTTTTCACTTTTATGTTTTGTTTTTTATATTTTGTAAAATATTGAATTTGAAGGTATGGCTTGGGGACCCGAACATGTGGTCTCCATGATGGGTGTTTGGGAATGGATAAGATATGGACTTCTCATAAATATGGTCCTTTCTTTTTTTTTTTCTTTTTTTTTTCTTTTTTTCCTCCTTCAAGACATTTTGGTTGCAAAATTTTATACAATTTAATGAAAAAGAAATAGAAAATTTAAGACATCTTAATATTAAAAATATTAAACTATTTAATAATAATTATGGGATATATGTAATAAAGTTAAAATGCACATTTTGTCTTACATATTTAATTATTATGATAAGAGATTTTGATTTTTTTAATATTAGAATGTTTTTTTTATTGAAATAATTTTATAGTATAAGTAGAGAGAATGAAATAAGAAGTCCTATATTAATGTATTAAAAATACCATAGTTACAATATTATGTAAAATTATAAAGTAAGTTTACAATCTTGTATGATATCAAAGTAAATATAATATGATATTAAATAAATTAATACATATAATATCATGAATAAACTTTTAAATGAAAAAAATTTATTATATAATATCACATCATATTATAAACTTATAATGTTATGTAATATTATAACTATAATATTTTTTATTAGTATATAATTTGAGGGCTAACAAGGATACTTTATCAAAAAAAAGTGATATTTCTTACTTTTATTCAACAAATTTTTTTGAAAAAATCTTTTTCTAAATGACATATGTTAGGAGAGATTTGAATCCATAATGTTAATTTAAATTAAAATTTTACAATTAATAACTACCAATTCAACAAACCTATTGACAATTTAATAAATCCTTCTTTAGCACACCCTTAATCCCCATTTTTTTTTTGAAATACCTTAATTATTCCCCGCAGATTTCATAACTTAATGATTTTGGTAAAAGCAAACTGCTTCCATCCCTAGCTAATGAATGAACATATATCAGGGCATAATTACTTGCATTTATAAAGCTCCTACTATTTTACCTTTATTTTGTTTGTGGTAATCAAGCTTGATTATTCTCATACTAACTTTAGCTTTATGCTTTATATTTTAACTGTATAATTTTTTTCTCAGTAGGATGTTTTCACTAATGCTTCTAAAATAAAGTTATAAAAACAGTAATAGAAGGATTCCAACTTACATTTCTTATTTTTTTCGTTTTTAACTTGTTCATCTCACTGTACTCATTTGTTTTGTTAAAATAAAAGGTAGTGTCAATTGGAGACAGGCAAGCATTGTTGCTTCAGCATTGCCCCATTTGACCCTACATTTCACTAAAGCTTACATAAATTTTTGAAAAGAGGCAATGGAATTAAAGCGTCATAATTGGTGTTCCCTTTTTCATGGGTAAATTATTTTCTTTCCTTTTCATAATGAAAAATTATTGAGTAAGTACATGGGGCCAAGGCCACCGAGGTCCACTCATTTCCTTCTCATTTAAAATTAAATTATTTGATAAAAAAAAGAGAAAAAAATAAATTTTTTAATGTTCGAAAAAATAATACATTTAGGTAGGTGTGAGATGTGAGAGAAACTAACATTGTGAATTAATTGTATAATGTCTCAAATGGACTAAGCATGACTTGGACACTACAATTTAAAAAATAACCCTTGACCAGAACCTGATGAAGATAATAAAACCTGATGAAGATGTCTAACCTTCTTATATTAGAAAAACTTACATTATCTTTATATTAACTAGACAAAAAATCTCCTAAATAAAAAATTAAAGGGGTGGGAATGGGATATTAGAATAAGTTATGAAGATTGACATGATAAGCATTATTCTCTATTTTACAATAACTATCATTCTTTTACCAATGATTCGTTGGTTCGAATTGAAGAAACTCAATTGTCTTTAAACAAAATTTTGAATTCAAGTCTTATAAATAGAAAAATAAATATTGAAAGAGTTTTTCTCATTAAAAATTCGATATAACTAGATTTCAGATTAATCAAGATTTAATATAGTTGTGAGATATCGGAAGGTTAATAAAAAAAAAACAACTATCATTCATTTCTTAAGATAAGCTAATGAAAATGTAATATTTTTATAATTTTTTAATTTTAACATAAATAATTTATTTTTTATTAAATTAAAAAAATTTAACCTCAAAATACATCTAAATTAACTCGAAAACACTCTACCGCTTAACTAGAAAAAAACCGCATTTCTTCTCTTCGCACATTTTCTGATGAAATTACTATTGTCATGATTAGTTTGCGTTTCGTCATATAAGTCATGTTTGGTTTCAACAATAACTTCGTTATAATGATCGAGAAAAGATTAGAGGTTTTTTTTTTTTTTTTTTAATGTTCAAATACCTTAATAATATAGCAAATAACAAATAACATTAAAATTGACATTGTAAATTATTTTTGTCTTAAAAATTTTCTCTCAACCCCTTTAACGTTAGAACTATCTTCTGCTTTGTTGCTATAACAATAGTCTTGACTCAGTCACAATAAAGGCCCTTTCTAGTCCAAGTAACTCTTTCTACTATTATAAATGAATTTTTCTAACTTATCTCCTAAAGTGTATTAAAAATATTTTTTTATTATAAATATACATAAATATAAAAATTAATATTAATTTTTAGTATTAGGTAAATTTAATTAAACAATTTATAAATTAAATGTTGACTTTTATTATTTCAAAGTAAATCTATGATGGAAATATATATTTAATACACTCTTAACATGTGTTCTTAAGATACAGATTAGATAAACCTATTGTAAATTAAGTTTGTTTAATTTATATTTTAAATGTATAAGTTAAAATATAATAAATATATTTTTAATTAATTAATATAAAAAAATTATAAAAATTAACATATATTTTAATATTACTAACATGTGAATAATTTTAATTGATTAATTAATTAACTCAAAATTAATATTTATATTTTTAAAACATTAATTATAAAAAAAATACATTATTGCATTTTTAACATATACTGTTAAAGTATCAAATAGAAAGATCTTTATAAATTATACAATTCACAAAAAAAAAAAAAACTATTTTTTTAATCATTTTCAACTCTATTTTAATACAAATCAAACTCAAAGTTTGTGAGGAAATTACTAGTAGTCATTTGGCGTGGTAATTACTCAAATATATGACACTGGGCATTTGAGGAAGTGAAATAAGACTTACTTGGCCCTGGTGTTGTCATTATTGAAGAAGTCAAACTAATTGGTTGGTCAAAGATGGAGTGTGTAAAACTTCAAGTCCACCCAATGACTAAAAGACCACATTGTTGAGATTTGACCATACTAATCTGAAATGCTTAGCTTTGGATTTGGACCTTCGTTTTGTTCTTTTCTTTTATTCTCTTCTCTCTTTCTTATTTCTTCCTTTCATGAAAATTAATGCTTAGCTACAAATTAAGCACAAAAAGATTTTAAAGTGATTTTGTTATTTATTTAAGCTTTCATTTGATATAATGATGATTTTTAGTTTTTAATTTTAATTTTTACAAATTTTATAACCTTTTATAAAGAAACTTATTAAATTTCATATGTGTTTTTAGAGTATATTGTTATAATCATTAGACAAATAAAATAAAATAAAAGTAATTTTTTGCATTATTAAACAAGTTGATATTTTTAATTATTAGTATTAAAATTTGTTTTAGATAATTTTTTATTTTTTACTTTTGATGGTTACAAGATTTATGAAAATTAAAATTAAAAATAAAAATCCATATAGTAAATATAGCCTTAATAATTACTTTCTTTGTTTATTTTTAATAATCTTCATTTGATTTTTTTTTATTTTTTGAATATAAATTTTAAATAAAAATTTAATATATTATATAAATAATAATTAAAATATTTTTATCAAATAAAAAATACTCAACATAACTATATATAAAAATATTTTAATGATTATTTATATAAATTATTAAATTTTTATATAAATTTTACTATAGGAAAGTTAACAACTTTTTCTTCTAAACTATATCAATATCTTATCCAACACAACAAAATTAATAATTTAATAAAATTTTAATAAAATTTTTGTTATAAAACTGAATAACTTTACTTATAATAATTTTTTACTTTTCATACAATACTTTTTTAACCATTTTTTTAATAAAAACTTTCTAATAAATGAAGAGCCCTAAATTTTGAATTTTGACGTAATATTAAATTTTCATAATAATATATAAACTAAAATACTATAATTACAATATTACATGATATTATAAAATTTTAATATGATGTATCATTATATAATTAAGTTTTTTATTT